CCAAGAAAATTATAAGAATCAAATAAGCGATTATATAATTATATGCAAATATATTTGAAAACCTGGATGAAATGGAGTTGTTTTCTTTTTTCTGAGAGAATACCAATGATCATAATGACCTCAAAAAGGATCCGAAGGAAATAAAATCTGTATTGAAGAGATGGCTTTACTCCTATGTCACTGGATCATTATTCACGATAGCCAAGATATGGAAACAACCTAAGTGTCTGCCAATGGATGAATGTATAAAGTGTGGGATATATGTATATATACAAGGGAAATGCTTTAGCCATAAAAATGAAGGAAATCCTGTCATCTGCAACAACATGGATGAACCTGGAGGACATAATGCTAAAATAAGCCAGAGAGAAAAAGACAAATACTATGTGAGCTCACTTATCTGTGGAACCTAAAAATAAAGTCAGACTCATAGAAACAGAGAGTAGTATGTGGTCGCCAGGGGCTGGGGAGCAGGAGGTGAGAGATGTGGGTCTAAGGGTGCAAACTTTCATTTATAAGATGAATAAGTTCTGGGGATGTAATGCACAGCCTGGTGATGATTGTTACTAGTACTGTATTGTATACATGATGCTAAGAAAGGAGACCTTAAGCCTTCTCACCAAACACACACACATAAATGGTAACTATGCGAGGTGAGAGATGTGGTAATCAACTTGGTGGTAATCATGTCACAATATATATGTATACCAAATCTTATTACATTGTATACTTTAACTACATATAATTTTGTCAGTTACACCTCAATAAAGTTGAAAAAATAAACGCAAAAGAGAGAACTGTCTAAAGAATACACATGACAGGATCAGACTGCCTGACTTGAGTCAAGAATTACAGACGTCACAAGAGCCTCACCGTCCACGAGTATGACAGTCCAGGTACCATCAATTTGTCAGTCTCCTCTTGTACTGACTGACCTTTGCAAACTCTAAGGAAAGCAATCATAGGGTTTTCTGAGAGTTTGAAGGAGGAATAAATAAGACAAGGGGGCCAAAAGCATAAGCTCTTGATAAGGCGGAGAGGCATGAATAGTATAAGAGTCAAGAGAATGGGGAGTGGAAGAAGCTGGCCCAGAAGCAGACTAGAAAAGGTGTGCATCAATAGAACTGAGCGTCATCCCACTGTGAGACTTCTTGAAACACAGTCCTTCTTTCTCCACCAGGTTTGATTACTCCATCCTTTTTCCCTTTTCATTAACTAAGTAAAAATTCACTCTGTTGGTACTTGTTAATTGTCTGGCCCTTCAGCTGGGTAACCTCCTCCACAAGAATAAGGACCATACCTCTTTTGTCCAACATTGTATACCCATCATGTATTGGCTTTTATTGTGCCAGTCATTACATATTTACTTAATGAATGAATGGGGCAAGCTTGACATTTTGGACTAGAGGCAGAGAACAATAAGGAACATGGCTGCAGAGACATGAATTCCTAGCCCAAGGAGGAAGATGCGCATGATGGAGGTACAACGTCCTACTGGGAATGGAGCAACTATTATAGATTTAAAGGTAAAAGTCTTCTTGAGATATGGTAGAGAGAGTGTGCTGAGAGACTGTGCAGACAAGGCAGAAAGATAATCTACATCTCACAACATGATACATCACAGGGGAAAAAAGGTACGGTTCTAGGCCTTCCTTTAAAAAGTCAACTTCATGGGCTTCCCTGGTGGCGCAGTGGGTAAGAATCCACCTGCCAATGCAGGGGACATGGGTTCGAGTGCTGGTCCGGGAAGATCCCACATGCCGCCGAGCAACTAAGCCTGTGCGCCACAACTACTGAGCCTGCGCTCTAGAGCCCGCGAGCCACAACTACTGAAGCCCACACGCCTAGAGCCCGTGCTCCGCAACAAGAGAAGCCATTGCAATGAGAAGCCCGTGCACCGCAATGAAGAGTAGCCCCTGCTCGCTGCAACTACAGAAGGCCTGCATGCAGCAATGAAGACCCAACACAGCCAAAAATAAATAAATAAAATTAAATAAATTTATTAAAAAAAAGTCAACTTCACAAGCACTATCTGGAGAGATCTGGTTTAACCCAGTATCACAAGTAAAGGGGAAAAAGACAGACTTTGAGATCTTGGTAAACAGTAAGATCACAATGAGTGACTAGGACGTGCCCACCAAAATTCTTTTTTTTTTTCCCCACCAAAATTCTTATGGTGAGGTAGGCTGCACTGATGGGTTCTACAACTTCCAATGATGAAGGTGGCAGGCTTGAGTTGCTCCGGGCTGCCATACTATAGTATGACTTTCCTTTCTGAGTGCTACGCTTGTAGAGAGTTAAACTTGAATGTATTCAGAAGAGAGGCCCCCAGGATGACAAAAACACTCAAAGGTAAGTTATGTGAGGAACAGTGAAAGAAACTGGGGCTACTTTGCTTAGAGAAGGAAAGACTCAAGAGAGGCATGAGAGCTGTCTTTGAGCAGCTGAAGGGTTGTCAAGTGTCGAGGAGGCTTTACTTCGGAATGACCTTGAGGGTAGAACTAGAATAGGCAGAAGCTACAGGCTGACAGATCTCAGCTCAATACAAGGGAGAACTCTGAGCTGTCAGAACTAAGTACGGGGACCAGGGAGAGCTGCCTTAGCACTTAGGCAGCAACTTGTCACTCTGGGCGCTCTAGGCCGTGCAGCACGACGGCGGGCAGCCAGGCTGGACAGGACATCAAGGGCTGCACTGGACGCCAGACTAGCTGACTTCAAATTCTCTCCCAATACCGAAATCCTGTGATTTCAGCTTCCGTGTTCCTTGTGGGAATCACTTGAGATGAGTTATGTAAAAGTGCTTTGTAAACTCTAGTTTTACAAATACAAGGTATTATTACCAAGTTTTCATCACCTTGGAGGATGTCAATTCTATCCCAGTTGCCATTTTCTCTATATCTCTCTAATCTCTCTTCAAACTCGTAATGATTTTTAATTTATAAATGCCAAATTTATCATACCAATAATTATGACTACCATTCCCTGTCTAGGGTTCCAAATTTTCAAAATCCTTCATAAATAATAAATGGTTCTTCATCTTTTATAAACGAGGGATAGGCCTTATATTCAGTGTGCTAATCGTGGGCCTGATCTTATTGTGTAAGAGGACAGAGTAGCTAAGTTCTCACATATCACTTAAGGGCAGAACTGATTATAATCAATAGCTCACCAAAATCTGTGTAACAAAGAAGTTCCCACATTAGTAAATAAACAATAAACAAACACATTAAGAAATAAACCTCAGTCTACGCTGACAGAATTTGACTTGGGTCCTTTATCCAGAGTGTCCTCTGGGAGTTTATCAACTCCCTGGCAATGAAAATAGCTGTTATTTGGTGGCATAGCTAACTTGTCACAAGGTATTTAGACTTGGAAAAAATTACTTGCCAGGTAAATGAAAGTCCCAGTCCTCTTTTGGGTGTTCAAAATATTTTCTCCACCTGTTTATTCACACAACGGAATATTACTGAGCCATAAAAATAAATGAAGTACTGATACATGCTGCAACATGGATGAACTTAAAAATATTATGCTAAGTGAAAGAAGCCAGTCACAAAAGGCCACATATTATACGATTCCACTTATATGAAATGTCCAGAATAGGCAAATCTATAGAGATAGAAAGTAGATTAGTGGCTACCTAGGGTTTGGGTGGAGAGGGTGGGTGTGTGCTAATGTGTATGGTGTTCCTTTTCGGGGTCACTAAATGTTCTATAATAGATTATGGTAATGGCTGCACAACTCTGTACATATACTAAGAAAACACTGAATTGTGCATTTAAAACAGTGAACTTTATGTTATGTAAATTATATCTCAAAAAAGCTGTTAAAATATATAGTGTCTTGAATAAGAATAAACCAGTAAAATCGAATTTTCTTTAAAAATTAAATAAAATTTTCTTGTTTTTTAAAAAACCAAAACAACAAAAAGAAAACTAAAATATTTTCTCCACCAAACTCCAATACCATCTCTAACAAGTAATGACTTGATAACTTTGAAATATCATTTCTTTTCATTTTTGTCCATCCTTCTTGGGATTTAACAGAAAGTGACATAGGCAGAGGCAGGCTGAGAGAAAAAGCTAGAACCAGGAAGAGAGCAAACTGGATACAGACCCTCCTCAAAAGTGGTTACCTAAGTTATTACAAAGCAACCCTCCCGCCCGAACACATGTTCTCCAAACTGTTTATGTATTTTATTCTCTGACTTAAACCAAGAGCAGAAAAGGGATTCGGAGGCTGGAATTTATACAGGGTGTTAGAGAGAAGGTAAGGCTCAGATAAGGAGAAATAGAGAGAATTTTTGACACACTTCATCTTAACGATGCTAAGTATCGTTAAGAAGGAAACATATTTTTAAAAGAAGCATTTAGTTTATACTCTGTCTTCAGTCTAATACTTTTTGTGTGTTTATATTGTGTTAGTGAGGTTTACCTTTTCATATAGGTTATACTTTGTCCCATGAAGATGATGTTTGTGAAGAAAGAACTACAATATACTTTAATATACTATGATTACAACTCTCTAATGATGCACATTGGGGGAAACCCCTACACGTTTCCATGAAAAGTTGGGAAGAGGCAGGAATAAATGGGGTCACAAATCTTTGGGCTCATCTCTTTGCACATCCTCTGTCCTCCTCATTCCATCTTTGTGGAAAGCTTGCTAAAAAAGTAAGACAATGCGGCCGGTCTTCAGTGACCCAATTTACTGTGTGGTTTGCCTCATATTAAACTGTGCTAGAAGGACAAGCTCTGGATCCAACACTTGGACGGCAGTAGGTCTAACAGGGGCCTGCTAGTGTTGGATAGATGTTCACAACTTATTAGCATTAAGGAGGAGGAGATGAAAGGCCACCATATTCACTGTGTTCACTATGGTTACATTGATGCAGACACAAGTCAAATAAAGATACTCTTTTCACGGAGCAGAAGGTGGATCTTTGAGAAACCTGAGTTTCACCAAAGACAAATTTCCTGTACCCCACGGCTAGGACATACCTTGATTCCCGTAGCTGCCTTCTATTCCTGAGCCATCCCACGAGTCCACGGCACTGTCCACGCTGGGCACAGTGGAGGGGTACGTATCGGTGAGTTTGCCTGGCTTCTGTGCTGGAGACGGGTCCTCCACGTCTCCCAGGTCACTCAGGTGGCTGGCAATGGGGAACTTCTTGGGACTTGATGCTGACTGGGCTTTAAAGACAGAAAAGGAGCTTAAGTACTACAGAAAATTTAAATACAAAGATATGCCAACACTCTCTGGCTGTTTATTTCCTGAGAAACAAACACGTAGACATTTGCACATTCTTTAAGGGAAGGAAATGCACTGCAAATCCTTAATTGTGGCTTTCAACCCACTCACCATCTGTCTGCTTCTTAATTTTCAAGGTGACAGTCTCTCCTGCCATCTGTAACAAATGGATGGCTTCACTCAGAGGCTTCCCTTTCAAGCTGCTGCTATTGATGGCTAGGATTCGGTCTCCTATGTGGATCGCGCCAGTTCTGAAACACCAAATAATAATAGGAAAGGTAGAAATAATCCCTGAATGCTACTGAATAGAAATTCCCTGATATACTTTATTTATTCATAATAATAAAGACTTGAGGGCTTCCCTGGTGGCGCAGTGGTTGAGAGTCTGCCTGCCAATGCAGGGGACACGGGTTCGTGCCCTGGTCCAGGAAGATCCCACATGCCACAGAGCGGCTGGGCCCATGAGCCATGGCCGCTGAGCCTGTGCTCCGCAACGGGAGAGGCCACAGCAGTGAGAGGCCCACGTACCGCAAAAAAAAAAAAAAAAAAAGAGTTGGCAAGGGTCCCTAGAAGTCACTCCTTGCCTTCTCCTGAGCAATGTTACAAGATAACTGCGTCTATTGTGAATTACTTTTTAGTTTCAAATAAAATCAGAAAAAATGTTTTAATTAGTATTTAAAATGGACTTGTGGGCTGTTTAAATTCCAGGAAAGCTGAGTCATTTGATAACCCTCTTAAAAATCCCAAGGAAACGAGCAAAGTGGGGCAATCACTGTAGTGATGTTTAGCATGGAGCAGTCCTTTCTACAGACTTAGAAGTGTTGAACACAATCAGTCAGCATCCCAGCTTACCAGAAGCAAGGTTTAGACACAAGACCCTGGTGTGGCAGGCCCCCCGCCACCCCCCAGTGGTGATTCCAAGAATTGAAAAAGGCTGAACTCAGGAATCAGTTTTGTTTTTTTTTTTGCCGCACTGCGCGACTTGCAGGAGCTCAGTTCCCTGACCAGGGATCGAGCCTGTGTCCCCTGCAGTGGAAGCGTGGAGTCCTAACTACTGGGCCGCCAGGGAAGTCCCAGGAATCAATTTGAATCCAACTCTGTCACCTACCAGCTGTGTGACCTGGGTACCTTATTTTCACCTCTCTAGGTGTCAGTTTCCTCATCACTAGAATGGGGATAGTCATCTCACAGGGAAGCTCTGAGGGCTAAATAGGAAAACACATGTAAAAGGGCTTAACATCCTGCTTGAAATGTGGAAAAAGAAAATTAATTTATTGAGCAATAGATAAACCTTTGATCTTTTCCCTTCTCGTCCCATTCTCACCCGATTCTGAACCAGCAGACTGGAATTTACGATTCTGATGTGCACCATATCTATCTTTGTTTGAAAGCACAGGATGGGGGAGGAGCAGACTCACAGCAGTCAAACTCAGGAAAGGTTTAAACACTCAGATCTCTCCACCTGGGTTGAAGGATGTAGAGTGGGAATCCCATATGCTAGCCTCTGGGGTGCTGGCTCACTTGAAATATCCTGAGTGAAGGAAGCCCAGCTCACAGCCTGCTTGTGACTGAGTGGTCCGACCCCAGGTTGCTTTGGGGTCGGTGGGCAGCGGTGCTGGGCAGCAGCAAGTGGGGCCACGGAGGTGAAACTGGGTCACACAGATTATGAGGGGCTGCCTAACAAGTCTACCGATGCATCTACTCTCAAGGAATTTTTTCTTCCTTTAAAAAAAAAAAAAAAGAGAGATCAATTCATTCTTCCATAAAGAGTCTCCAGGGAGTGCCCTGGAGGTCCAGTGGTTAGGACTCGGTGCTTTCACTGACGTGGCCTGGGTTCAATCCCTGGTAGGGGAACTAAGATCCCACAACTGTGTGACAGCACGGCCAAAAAAAACAACAGTCTCCAGTTTATGAAAGAGCCAGCTGTAAGCCATAGAACACTTGACCAGGAGGTTGCTGAATCAGATCAATATTAACCTTTTCCTCATTGTCTTAACAGAGAAACCTAGGACAGGGGGACACCTGAAGAATGCCGTATCATAGGTGTCTCTGTTAATATCAGAATACGAAATTCCGACAGGGCAGCCTTTTTTGAGCTGCCTCGGTGCCCTCACCTGACAGATGAGGATGTTGGATGAGCTGATTTCTAAGGTACCTTGCAGCTCCAAAATTCTGTGATGCTATATCTCTGTTTTGCAAACCAGTGTCTTCAAGTGTCAGCATGAACAGCGTGTGTGCACTTCTGAGCTAGGTTACTGGAGGACAGATCAGGTTATGGGGTTTGGAATATGTCCTACAACGTGTCTTGGAAAGAAATACAGTAAAATGGGGGTGGGGTGCACGCCAATGGAGACAAACTGACGAAGGAACAAATGGGCATTCCAAATTTCAAGATGTTATTAAGTCACTGCACTGTTTCCTGAAATCTTTGAAGACGAAGCTTCTGTCACCCTCTCAGCCGCTAAGCCCCGGTACCTGTCAGGTAACAGAGGCTCAGGAAATGTTTGCTGAATTGAATTGGACAAGCCTTTTAACCTCCTTGAACTTTTAGTCTCCTCTTCTCAAAATGGACACAATATAAATTTACCTCTAGTCAACTGTGGTCGGTTTACACATTTCTGGAGACTAATATCAGTGCTAAGCCCAGGACACTTTTAACTGCCTATAACATGCCCCTCAAAATCAAGTCAGAGCTCTGCCTGAGAGTTTTCAAGCTCTAAAATCAATCCTTTGTGCAGAGTTGAAAAAGTCAACAGATAACCAAGCAGGAGAGGGGAGCATGTTTTTATGTGGCTGTGAGGAAGAAAACCCATTTCAGACAGGTGATTGTAGAAGTTGCTTCGAATGTTACCTTTCAGCTAACCCTCCTTTGGTGAGGCTTGAAATGATTATAGGATCAAAAGGCTCTTCAGTTCCTGAAATCGTGATGCCAAGGGGCCCCCCGTAGCGCTTCAGCTCCACGGTGTAAATAATTGCTCCGGAACTTTCTTGCTCATCTGCAATAAATGCCAACGAGTCGTAATTGGTTTCTTCGGAAGAAGCAGAGTAAAAAGACACATATATTCACACATAAAACAAGAAATTCAAAACATCATCATCAAAGCACTGTGTCTCAGAAAATAATTATTTTGGGAAGTAGCATTTCCTTAGTAGGATCTACCATTCTAATACAGGGATGTAGTTGTTATCAGTGTCAGGGAAGGGGTTCTCTGCCTGATGACTTATGTTTTAAATCTGTGAGCGAGCTTCCCGGCCGGCACTGCGGGCCCTTTAGACAATGTCCCTGCCTAGCACAGTGCTTGCCCAGCATTCTGTGAGTGTGCCACGAATATCCGTGGACTGAACACACCGCTGAGGAGGCGATATGGGTGGAGAGAGTCACGTAGTAAACAGAGACTGGGCTCCGCAATTTCTATTTTCAGGCTTTATAGGCAAGCTAACTCTCAATATAGAAAAGTTGATTTAACTCACGGTTGGAGCAAACTTTAATATATGCATGGTTAAGTGGGGCTTGGAAATCTGGAATCCCTTACCTATTGTTCCTCTGTGTCTTAAAATGTGAATCTTATTCACAAAATCTGTGAATCTTATTCACAAATACACAGACAGTAAAACAGACGTTTGAATGATTATCTCTCCGCTGTTCTTGAGACTAGGAGCCATGTCAGTTACATTTCAGTAGCACATGCCAGGTTGCCACACTCTTGTGAGCTAAGTTTCACCATTTAATGTTCCTATGAAGGAAAACATTTGTGAGTGTGGTCTGCCTAAAGCATTGGCTTGAAAGATGTCATGGGACACCTTTCGCATGGTTGGGTATTTTGACTGCATCAAAGTTGCAAACATGGAGTCTCAGAATTCAAAGGGTTTTATTTGCTTATGACATGCTGAAAGTTCTTGAGCATTTCTTGCTTTATTCCTTGGGCCTGGGAGCTGTGAGTGGCTAAGGAGTTGTTCATTGCTGTACCTAAGGATACAATGAAATGGTCCAGTAGATACTTGAACAAAACAGTCAGTTTTTATAGTCAGGCTGTATCCTGGAGAAGCATTAATACAGTCACATTTCTGTAATGAGCAGCTGTTCATTTATGATATGAGACCCTAAACTAAGGATAAATAGAAAAGCCTGAATTAACAATTCAATTATCTGTGTGTGCGGTGAAGAATTATAATGAATATAAAATGAAATGTGTATAGAGAAATGTAGGAAGCGATGTGTCCTTTCCTGCCAGCACTTACTTCACTTCTGGCCACAGATTGGGAGCTCTGGGACGTACCCATTGCCTCCACTCCCTCAATGGAGGAAGAAGCAGCTCCATACATAGAGAATAAAGACCATCTACCACACACTGGAATGCTTAAATCAACATCCTAGGGTATAAACATCTTCAACATTAGACTCAAATTTATACTGGCAGCTGAGAATCCTCCACATCAAGGCTTCAACGGCTCTGTTGCATGGTTTCCACACTTCTTCCAGGGTTCTACTTTAGTTGTGGTCAACAGGCTGGTGATGGGCTGCCAGGCAGCTGCCGAGAGAAGCGCCAGGACGCAGAGTAACCAAAAATGGAGGGACAGTCAAAAGTCTAACTTTTCCTACACTGTGATAGATCATCACCTGTCAGAACTGGCTCTGACATAAGTGAATAGGGTATGACTGGACAGATTACACGCATTTTGCAGTCTGTGCCACCAACTATATCCTGCATAAAATTCTAGGTGAGCCATTTGATTAGTAAACCTTGATACAGTTAAGTGTTAGTTACCGCTGGGCACTCTACTGGCCATTCAGCGTGGGTGTGTGTGCCAGTGGGAAGACCCTGCCCTTTTATTGCCCTAAGTGTGAGCACTGCCTTGTCAATGGGCACCAAGCGTTCTGGATGTGGCCATCAGCTCTTTATGGGAGTTGTGGGAAATGGCAGTTACCAAGTACATGGAACCCAGCTGCCCAGAACCCAGGAACCTGTGGGAAGCTTCAGTGGAAACTTTAGTCTAGATGAAAACAACCATTGGCCCATAGGAAGGTGAGCTGGGGTGCAGTCCCATTCACCAGGAGAAGGGGGAGAAATTGGTTCCAGCTAGCTCATTCTTCAGGTAACCCAGAGTGAGTGCCCTGTGTTATTTCTGGACAGTTTTGCAACTTGCACCTAAGATGACAAAATAAGGCCAGAATGGAGTAAACTGGTTTAGGATGGTTTCAGGCCACTTTATGTAGGAACATTTTAAATTAGGCAGCTGAGGTGTCCCAATAACAAAAGGCAATTGTTAGGGACTCAATGAGTTTAAATAGTGGTGAGATGCAAATCAAGAAAATGGCTGTATATTAATGAAGAAGTGATGCTATATTTAGATTATGACAAAAATGTCGTTGATTTCTGATTCCTTCAACAAATAAAGAACTTGGAAACAAAAACGAGAATGGGTAAATTTATGAGACATTACAACCAAAAGCAATGAATACTTCTTTTTGGATCCTAATTCAAACCAACTGTTTTTTAAAAACCTGTCTATCTACCCATGTATATGAAAACCAGGGAGATGGGAACATTGAGTACATATTTGAGGAGATTAAGAATTATTGCCAATATTTTGGGGCTTCCCTGGTGGCACAGTTAAGAATCTGCCTGCCAATGCAGGGGACACGGATTTGAGCCCTGGTCCAGGAAAATCCCACATGCCGCAGAGCAACTAAGCCTGTGCGCCACAACTACTGAGCCTGCACTCTAGAGCCCGAGAGCCACAACTACTGAAGCCCACGCACCTAGAGCCCGTGCTCCGCAACAAGAGAAGCCACCACAACGAGAAGGCTGCGCACCGCAGTGAGGAGTAGCCCCGGCTCGCCGCAACTAGAGAAAGCCCACGTGCGGCAACAAAGACACAATGCAGCCAAAAATAAATAAATAAATAAATAAGTAAATAAATTTTAAAAAAGAATTATTGCTAATATTTAAAATTGTGATGATATTTATGTATTTTAGAAGTTTTTTTATAAGAGTATTGTTTAGGGATACACTAATAATATTTGCAAGATGCAATGATATGATGTCTGGAATTTCTTCAGAATAATTCAGTGTGTGGGTGGGGTATGGAAATTAGGGTGGGAGTAGATCTGAAGCAAGACTGATTCTAAGTTGCTAACTGTTGATGCTAGGTGATGTGGGCTGGTTCATTACACCATCTTTCTCTATTTTTAAATATATTTTCATAGTAATTTTTTAAAAAGAAAAAATATTAATTCCCTTAGAAAACCCTACGTGGATGCCTTGATTAAAGAGACATTTAATTAGTTTGGCTTCCGTACTCTCTTAGCCGATGATGGCTTCCCGTACACTGTCTTGTCCAGACCCCGTGACCCATCTGCCCACCAGGCAGGGTTCCCAGAGCATCCTACTGCCATGTGCTCTTGAGGAGGCCCCATGTCAGCTCTGCCCAGTTGTTCACAGCAATGGTCTCTTCCTAAATTGTTTTCCTACTTCGGATCCAGACTTTGTCCCTCTTTCCCACATCTATTTTCACCAGTCCTGCCAACACTGAATTCCGTCTCTTTTCTTCCCAGAATACCCTGAAAGCATAAATCTGAACACGTTACTCTCTTCCTTGAAGCTTTCCGTTAGGTCCCAGATTTCTGAAGAATAAAGCGCAACCCCTTGGCATGAACAGGGCTGGAGGCTCTGTCTTTCACTATCCTTTCCCATCCCAATCCAATCTAATTCTCTCCCCGCTGAACGACCTGTGGTCCATTTAAAAACACTTTGTTCACATCTTTAACCTTGCACATGTTACTCCCTGGAAGCAGACGTCTTTCCTCTGCAGGAGAATTTCTACTCTTCCTTTAAAACTTGGCTCAGATGTCTTATATCTCTGGAAGGCTTCCTGGCTCCTCAGCTGAGACTAGAGACCTTTCCTATGAGATCCTACAGCTCCTGTGTATTTTTCTAGTGTTTCTCAACTTCTTTAAAAATTATTGTCTCCTCTCCTCCCATCAAGGAGAAAAATTAAATTTAAATTCTCCCTAATGAGAGAAATTAAATACGAGGGAATAAGAGTCAGTCGGGTAGGGTTGAGCTTTGGAGGGTCACAAACTATTGTAACGTAATATCTAAGATTCTTTGCTCCCTGAGAACCAAATTTTATTTTTTTTAATTGAAGTGGAGTTGATTTACAATGTTGTGTTAGTTTCAGGTGTACAGCCAAGTGATTCAGTTATACATACATATGTATCTATTTTTTTCAGATTCTTTTCCCTTATACCTGAGAACCAATTTTTGCCCCCATCTGGAATGCATGGTCTAGTTTATATGCTTTTCGCTCTATGTGTCTCCTTAATTAGAACAGAATCACCTTGAAAATTACGATTTTTTATATTCACATGCCCAGAGCCTAGAACTATGCCTGGCACCAAGGAGACTCCAGTAAATGCCTAAACAAATGAGCGAAAGGACAAATGCCTGTTAGCAGGCAGTCACTGGTTCCTAGCTTTGTGAGTCACCCTTCCGGCTACTCCAAGGTCTAGATTCCTTCTCCAAGGTGATGCAGACCCAATCAGGCTCATTCAGAGAGTGAGAATAAAGCCTGGACTGCCTGAGTTAGCTGCAGGCTGCACTTCCAAATCCATCTGCCTTCTCGGGCATCGGCCCAACTGGCAGCTGTAAGGCCCTGCAGCTTGGGAGGAAGGTGATAACTGCCATTTATGCTCAGACCGTTTTGGAGGTGGAAGCACTCCAAGACGCTCTCTCCTTGAGGCTGGTCCAGCTTAGAAAGGAGCAACTGGCGTGTTGAACCAGAACAGAAACTTTCTGAGAAGGAAGAATGCAGGGTCACCAGGAAGTTGCAAAGTGAGCCTAAACAGATCTTAATGATATTATAAACAGCTTCTATATCACAACAGAAGGTTTACCACTATTAGCAAAAGAGGTGAAAGGGGCCAGACAATTTGTTTGTTCTGCTCAGCTCTAGTTAAGCAAATTAATGGGATCACGGAACAGATGCAAAACTG